CCACCGTCCGGCCGTTTATATGCAACGGCCGGTCGGGAAGTGGTTAAAGAACTGTTAGTTTTTATTTTACTTTACTCCTCTGAAGGCCATTGAATTGTACATCTATCTGTACGTGTGTAAGAAATTCTTACAAAAAGTTACTGGGTGCTCCCTTAAAGTAGATTGATAACAACTTTGCTGTGTTATATACATAACCAGGGCTCAAAATTTCAAGTCCTGAGCTACTAGCCAGGCCTGAAGAGTTACTCGCCACCAGTTGCCCCACCCAACCCCTGCCGCGCCTATAATCCCGCCACCAAACACTCCCTCGTAAATTACCTCATGAAATTACACTGTTTAAATGTTTTATACAGAATAAAGTTACAAAAATAAATAACTTTTAACAATATTAACATAAAGCATAAAGCAAGGAAAATAATTGCTTTACATCAATAAAGCATTAAAATATTTTCTTAACAAGGCAGTAATGATGTTCACTGTGCTTACAGTATAGTAGCCAATTATATTTTATCCTTATTTTATTTATCACAGTCAGATCAATGAAATATGATTGCCGATTGCTGGTATTGGTTGTTTTTATTTTTTTTTTCCTTAATAATTACACTGGATAAGGAAAAATAAAAAATAACCATCACCAGCAATCGGCAATCATATTTAATTGATCTGACTGTAATTAAAAAAAAAAAAGAGGATAAACTATGATTGGCTACTATAGGCACTGTACACACTACTAATGCCTTGTTAAGAAAATAGTTTAGTGCTGTAGTATAAAGGGAAAAAACCATGAATAACCTATAATACCAGTTTGACTGATTTAAGATGCGGAGAGACTTGCAGCGGAACACAGAACTGGACAGGGGAACAGGAGGTACCAAAGTTTACTTTTTTTCATTAACAAGCTAGTCCGAGCAACCAATCACCAGCTTGGTAATAGGAATAGTAAACTTTGGCAGCTCCCGCCCCCCTCCTCCTCCGCCTTTAAAAATTATTAAAACAAAATCTGCATTCACTGACCCTTGGGCCTCATAAACGACATGAGATTCTGCTATTTTCGTATGGGAAGAAGGAACATATGCACCATCCAACCCTATTTGCCAGCATTCCTGTAAAAGGCTGAGAGAGGCTTAAAACTGCTGTGGCTAGACGGGGCTGGACAGTGTACCGAGAGGTACTAAAGTTTAGGGCGGGATGTGCCCAGACCTTGCATTCTAGGCATTCATCTCACGGCACATACTGCCCTAAATGTTAGTGCCAAATTCAACTGCAACAGCCTTCAAACCTCATTAAACTTTTACAGGCTGCCAACAGTGGGGCTGGACCGTTCACCTGTGCCTTTTGTCCGCATCAAAATGCCAGAATTTCATGCAGTGGGTGAAATGCTAAGTATGCATGAGGCCTTAAAGTGATACTAAACACACACTGTTTAATTTACATTCTCTTTCTGTATGTGGATGATGGCACTACAATTCTTGTTATTAAATAAAAAATCTAAGTACCTTTTTCCTAATCGGTATACAGCTGTCACTTGACCCAGCTCTTTCCCAGCCTTTTTGCAGGGAAACATAAGCAGGGGGAATTTCTAGTTCTCTGCTGCTGGTCACATGTTAAACAGCCTTTGGGGTACAGAGCAAAAATATTATCAAACTGTTTTAAATCGCCAGGCAAATATATATTTGAAGTCAAATTTTTATTATTTTTTTATTATTTTTTTTGGCAATAACATGGTGTCAGCGGATTTCTGCCAGTCACAGGCTGTGTCACGCCCCTGTGTCTTAGAATAACTGGGAGGTGATGCCTCCATCAATCAAGATGTAATATTCCACGCCCATTTTGTTTAGCTGGTTAGTGTGCATGGAGGAGAAGGGAGGGAGCAGACTGTCCTTTACCACTGTGTATACGCCCACATGTGTGACTCTATAGCAGGGGTCTCCAAACTTTCTAAACAAAGGGCAGGTTTACTGTCCTTTTAGACTTTAGGAGGGCTGGAGTACCCAGTGGGAGTAGAAAATGTCCCAGCGTCAGGAGTAAAAAGAAAATGACATAGTGATTGTAGTCTGTGGAAGGAGGAATAGTGTCCAGTCATTGGTATTAGTGGGAGGAATATTGCCCCATCATTGGTATTAGTGGAAGGAATAGTACCCCATCATTAGTGTCAGAGGGATGAATAGTGCCTCAACATTGGTAATAGTTGGAGGAACAGTGCCCCATAATTGGTATTACTAGGAGGAATAGTGCCCCATTATTAGTTGAAGGAACAGCGCCCCATCAGTGTATTACTAGGAGGAATAGTTCCCCATCATTGGTGTCAGTGGGAGCAATTGTGCCCCATCATTGGTTTTAGAGGGAGCAATTGTGCCCCATCTTTGGTGTCTGGGAGCAATTGTGCCCCATCTTTGGTGTCGGGGAGCAATTGTGCCCCATCTTTGGTGTCTGGGAGCAATTGTGTCCCATCATTGGTGTCAGTGGGATGAATAGTGCCCCATCATTGGTGGCAGTGGGATGAATAGTGCCCCATCCTTGGTGTTAGTTGGTGGAATTGTGCCCCATAATTTGTGCCAGTGGAAGAAATGGTGCCTCCTTGTTGGTGTCAATGGGAGGAATAGTACCCCGAGGGCCGGATGGAGGCAAGAAAAGGGCTGCATTTGGCCCACAGACCGCAGTTTGAAGACCACTGCTCTGTAGTCACATGGGCTGCTCAGATGTGCTAGGAAAGAAATTCTCAGCATAGAAACTCACTGGAAAAACTGAGCATGTGCAGAAGCTGGCAAATGAAAATCTCCAACTGCATTGGGGACGTGGACTGAAGGGGGAGATAAAGAACAGCAAAATCAACCAGGGTTTTTGCAGAATACAGAAAACAAATTCCATAGTGAATGAGTATCAACAACATGTAATACAGCATTTATTGATAGTTTTTATGATGTGGGTTTAGTGATACTTTAATGAAATCCTAATTTTCACATGTAAAGTTGAGTGACAGCTAGCGTATTCATTTGTTCACTCTGTGTGAAAAGTAGATTAAAGACAAATTTACTAAAGGCAGCAAGGTCGTTAAGCCATTGGTATGATTTTCCAGGTCAGAGTAGGTAACTAATGCTTGGCAATCCACGGTTGAGAACTGAAATTTATATTTTCTTTCCAGGGCGCCTCTGCCAGGCAGCAGGGCCAGATTCTTGATCTCCTTTGAAGCAGGATGCCTGCTTGGTGGAAAATGCAACCTATTCTGTTGGTTGGCCACTGAAGGAGCTGAAGCATACTGATAAAGGCATCCTTCTGCTTACTTACATTCCTCCCAATTGGCAGCAGATCTGCATTTCAGCAGAGCTTGGTTTTCGCCTAGTATAGGCAGCAATTTACCAGAAGGCACATTAATGTACTTGACTGCATTTAAAAATGCATTGAGGGCCCATTTACATGTAATCATTCTGTCGTGCATTAATGCACATCCTATTGTGTTGTGTTTTCAAGCCACCCATCCACAATGGGCTGCCAGCACACCAAAACAGATGAACAAATGTACAGGACCCTGTTATCAAAACACAGCGCACCACCACCCACGGTATATGCGTTTTGGTGCACTGTTGTGCTATGCAATTTAATTTGTGTGTTATCCACAATGAATGGCAGTGTGACGCACGAGACATAAGAAGCACTTGCCAAGCATTGTAGTAGCGTGCATTAAAAATGTGTTTTGGAAGTGTGAACTGGTCCACAACAGTTGAATTCATGAGTAGGTAAATTGGTAATATAAAGCCCTGGGCCGCACTCTGAAAATGTCAACCAGGTTTCAAGTGAAAGCACTGGCTTCAGCTACTGTCCCTGCCAATTGTACATGCCCTCTGATGCAATTCATCTGGCTTCGGCTATGAATAAGACCAGTCTGGGTGAAACACGTCACAGGGACATGGTCAATGAGTGGGGACTACATCTGAAGCCAATGATTTCAAATTGAGACCTGGTTGATATATTCAGAATCTGTTACTGTGGATGGAGGGCCCGGCATCTGGATGGAGAGAGGGCTGTCGGGATGACATGCAGGAGACTATGAGCAGTGCTATATCTGTCATTCATTGTTATAGATAAATTGATGTTTTTATTTGCGTTTGGAACATAGGCCGAGAAACCTGTAATATGAAAGCCATAACCCCATTCAGGATGTCATTATTTAGCTACAATATTTCCATAGATGTTGTGTTTTTGTTTTTATATACAACAAGGCAGAATGACCTCGGCAAAATTAAATTTGTAGATTTTTCTAAGGATATGGTAAGGTGTATTAAATAGACTATAAAAGAAAAACTGTCCTTTTTAAGTAAGGCAAGCCATAGACAATGCAATTTTCTTTCCTGCAACCATGGGTTACAGGAAGGAGAATCGCTCGATTTTACCCCCCGTAAACCGAGTATTGTTGGGGGAGTTCCTCCCTCTGAGCTATTGTGTTCTCCAGGGGTGTGGATGTGGGGAGCCATCCCTGCTTGGAGAACACAGTGATTATTGCTAGTGGCTATATCCGCTGGCAATAATCGCATGTATAGATCCAACATATTGGCTGTACCCCAGTCGTACAACAATCGAATTGGGTACAGTCAGTCTGCCCATAGAAGTTTGAAATCTCAGGCCGGTCCATGCTCAACTGGCCGAAGATTGGAACCATCTATGGCTGGCTTAAGCAATTGATGAATAAGAATCACTATATTTAAAAAACACAGCACGTTCCACTGACGTTTGAAGACAATTTCCCTTATAGTGGGCTAATCTGTGATCTGAATATCTGTAGTTCATTTTAGGTGAAACGAGAATAGGAAAGCCACAAGTATGGAAAGGAGGTAACTGTATACAAGTAGGATAATTCTAGCAAACACCAGAATCCGGTTTGGTGTCAAAGGAATTATTGTTAAGGTTGCCATGAGGTCCTTCGTGGTCTGATGACTTTGATACCATGTCTGGGGATCTGACTTTGAATAAACCCTTGTTGGAGACAAGTGATTGTTTGCAATTTAATATTTGACATTACCTAAACTTGGGTTTTTTTTTTTCCACAGCCTATTTTTGCCTTTGTAAATGAAGAAAGATTTCCAACCAATGGCTGGAATGTGTATGATCCTATTGCTGAGTTTCAAAGACAGGTATGGGAGTCTTGTTAATGAAAAACACTGATTGTCCAATGTATTGAGAAATGTATTGTAAAACTTCTAACGGGAACATGTTAATTTTTCTCAAGCAGGAAGGGCCAGTTCACACTAGAATGCGATGTGGTGAAAGTCACAATCCATTCTTGATTCCCGCATTACTTCCAAACGCACTGCCTTTTCAATCTACTGCAGTTGCCAGTACATTAACGTAACCCCAGATGCAGATTGCAAAAAGTGCATTTGTGGGCCCCAGATTGCATGGTACCTTGTTGAAATAAATGGACTGTTAAATAGCACTGCACTCCAGGGGAAAGTACAGGAATCACACAGGAAAAGGATTTTGGTGTGGACTGGCCCTAGAGCAATATGTACAAATCATCATTTCTTGTTTCTGGTTTAGGGTATCGGCTCATTTGAATACTGACAGCCATCCCACCTTCAGATACTCAAAACAAATTGTCAGTTTTATGGTTAGGTAGCCACACAGATCTGCCATTTAAAATATTTAAAAAAAAACCCACAAATTATCTATTAAGATTGGAATTCTTTTATATTACACTCTGACCTTTAGGGGTTTTTTTTTAGGTTGCAAAAATGCATCTAAACATTAAATGCATAAACTTTGGTATCTTACTTGTTATAGAGTTTTGCAGTTTGGTGTCCTCCCTCAAACTAAATAAACAGGACACAGACCTAGGCCCATTTCACACAAACATTCTGATCAGATCCTCCTGTCCGTTTTTCAGGCGGACCCGATCGGAACTTCCCTTCTCCTCTATGGAGCGGCGGGTGTAAACTGACATGTAATCTAATCTGATTCACCAAAAACAGATGGGATGGGATCTGTTCCCTCTTCAGACAAGTGGATCGGATGGCAGTCGGGCGTAAACGGTAAACGTAAATGGTCAGTTTACATCTGACCGCCCCATTGAGGAGAATGGACTGTGTCTGTGTCCACTCTGTATAAAGCAGTGGACACAGACCTGTCATCCACCTGCTCAATGGGGATCAGCAGACAGATTCCCTGCTGAGCAAGTGGATCATAAGCAGAGTCTGCCCCATGTGAATTGGGCAATACTGAAATATATAATGTTTATAGGCCAGTAACAAAAAGTAGCTTGGCTTCAAAGCTGAGCTATGCCTGTCACAGCTATAATGCAATTGGCTGGTCTTTTCTATGCTCATCCTTAGTCCAGCAGTACTGTTGGGGGATTTTGTCTGTTTTCTCTGTCCTCACTTCTCAGTTCTAGTAAGAGCCGCTCTTTAGACATCAGGTCGCCTCTGCTTTTATGCTGTTTATCAGGAAAGCACATGAACAATTATATAAACGGACATAAATATATTGCAGTCTTTCTACTGAGCTTTGCAGTAGTTTGAAGAGCAGCCAAATACCAGCTTTTGTCGAATCAACAGAAAAATCAGTGCATGCTGCCCAGTGTGACAGCTGTCATATGTCAGACAGCCTGAGACATTTTATGTATTGAATGGTCTAGAGCTACAGGTTACATGTAGGGTAAGGGAGCTACATGGTTAATTTGCTGCAAAGAGCAAATTGGTGGACAATTTCTTAGGAGTGTGTTCAGCCCAAGGTTAGTCTAATGCCATCATTACAGTCTGCAAATTAATACTTTCATTTCTTTACAAAGCTCCCGATTTTCGTTTCACCAGTGTCAGCCTGATGTGCAAAGCATTAAGTAGTTTGTATTATTTTATGAAAACTTCCATGTGGTATGAGCGGGCCTTCTGGGCTTCCTGCCCAGGTTGAGTCAGCCTGTTAGCACGACAGCTGCCAGCTGAATGCCCACTCCGCCCTCTTTACAGTTCCAATCGTTATATCATTAAATAGATTACAGCCATTTTGTGTCTGTACATTTCCACTTAGAACTGAGGTAGACCACCAAATCTGCATTACGTGATTGACTTGTGTTGCTCCTAAGGTGCTAGGCTGAGCATAATGTTAAACACAGAGTCTGCTATTTACATCTTTTGTTTCTCTTTATCTTACAATCTTTTGCATGTCCTTCATATAAATGTCCTTGCAATTGTAAGATTTGATCACCACCCTTGTGGTTGCTTGATCGAAGTGCAGCACGGAAGGATAACCGTATGCAGAAAGAGGGCTAAACCTGTTTCTTTCTTTTACCAAGGGCTTGCCAAATAATAACTGGAGATTAACCTTCATTAATGAGCAGTTTGAATTCTGTGATACCTATCCCCGATATTTGATGGTCCCATTTAATGCCACAGAAGATGACCTCAAAAAGGTTGCCACCTTCAGGTCAAGGAACAAAATTCCGGTATGTAGTTTTCTGATGGTTCACTCTTTTTGAATTGGGAATTCTTATTTTGTGAGTCTTTTGTTGCATCTGTGAAAGAAATTATGAAATTATGATTCTATAGAATGTCTTCATTAGAGGAAGATCAAATAGATGACATATTTTCTGTCTACATAAAAATCCATGCAATCACATTAAAGATAAACCTTTTAAAATCACTTGTCATTTACTCTACTTGCAAAAATGTGGGGGACAATAGAAGTAGGTTTAGTTGGGCAAGTTTAGGACATTTGTACTACAGCTCAGCTGGGCATGTCTAGGAAAACATTTGTCACCTCTCCCTCATTCCATTGGGGGGGTCCTCCAAGGCTCTAACCCTTTCTATTCTCTATCTACACCTCCTCCCTTTGGTCAGTTAATAACCTTGGCTTCCAGCACCATCTCTATGCCAGTGACATGATTTGCAAATCGATCTTTCTACTTTTCAGCTTGTCCCTCACACGACCATAAACAAGGAAGTGACATATCAGTATAGATATCACTGTACTAAGAAACTCAATCCTTCAGAAATGAGCTCATGATGCCCCCCCTGACATTTCTACTGAGTTCAGAAGCACACCTATCCTTCTCTCCCCTCATGGCAGGTGTAAGGGGAGTCCCCTCATGGCATGGGGGAACTATGAAATCTGCTTTCAGCACCACAACCATTCACTGTCCAAATCTTTCTGCCTTCACCTCTGTAACATTTCTAAAATACACACCTTCTTAACCAGTGACACAACAAATTGTTGATTCACTCCCATGTGATCTTGATTATTGAAACTCATTCCTTGTTGGCCTACCTCTACAGACTATCCTCCTTTCAATGTATCGTCAGTGTTGCTGCTTGACCCATCTACTGTCATCTTACAGACTGGTTGCCAACCATTCTGTTGCCCCCACTCTACCAGTCCCTCCACTGGCTTCTGCTTGCCTAATATACTACAATTCAAAATGCTAACAACAAAATACAAAACCATCCCCAACTCTTTGCATATGCTGACATTATAGAAATCCTGTATAAATAATAATTTGGCCAGTCACAACAGGAACATTGATTTATCTGAAAAATGTAAATGTTTCCTTGTAAACAGCAGGTAAAAAAATTACCATATTACTGTGTAGTAGTGGGGTGTTTGCTAGGAGGTGAAGCCTGTAGTAGCCGCTCTTGGAGAATGGGAAGCCCAAAAGCTGTTCGAAATCTCCTCCTTTTTGTAGAAGCACAATACCAAATTGGTTCCTCTTTTATCTGAAAATTGTCATGAGTCAGAAATAATGACATGAAGCATATTGGGGGTTTATTGGAGGTATTAAAGCTGAACTTTAGCTAAAAGAAAGATCTTCTCTAACTTTAATTACCTAACTTAGTAGTGTGACAGTGTGAGGCCCTGCCATGGCATGAGTTTAATAAATGAGTATAGAGATGAAACCGGATTCCGGATGTGTGCAGAGAAAGCTCTGTTTTTACGTTTTCTCCAGATTTGCTAATCCCAGATTGGGGCCTGGAGTTTGAAGGTTCTGAAGAGTCTTGGGTGAGAAGGAACCTTCAATCCTGTGTCCAGACTTTGCGAGACACCTGCAGTCTGTGTAAGTGTCGGGCTGTTATAATTCGCCTGGGAGTTCCTGCCTGAGACTACATCCTTTGTGAGGGAGATTCCTTGCCCAAGGACTGGAAAAGTCAGGACAGCTATGCAGTTCTCGGAGGCCAAGAAAGCTGAGGCGGCTAGCTGGTCCAGGGAGCTGAAGGAATCTGGAAGTCTGTAGAGGGAGCAAATTCAAGGGGCTGGAAACACTGTGAGGAGTACTGCTGTAACCAGAGAGAGGGAACTCCACCTGTGAAGACAAAAGCAAGGGAAGGGAGAAAACGGCTCAGACCTTTGGTGTATTACAAAAATCAAAGGGCTATATTAAAACCGCATATTTATACTTCCAAGATAGGATGTGAGACAGCACATATAGTCCACGAGAAAGCGCCCACTCAACACACAATGCCGTCACAAGGAAAGGATAGATGAGCAGCCGTGGCGTCCAGATCACTGTGTGGTGATCCCGCTCGGCTCGCTGAATTACAAGGACCACACTCAATGGACGGTGGTCTGTAAAAGTGGAGTCACAGGATGCGTTTCAAGTGATCCAGACACTAGCTGCTCATCCATCCTTTCCTTGTGACTGTGTTTTGTGTGTTGAGTGGGCTCTTTCTCGTTGACAATATGTGCTCTTTCACTTTGTTTTGTGACCATATAATATGTTTTCATAAAGCTCTTTGATCCTTTTACGTCACCAGAGGTCTGAGCTGTTTTCTCCCTTCCCTTGCTTTCATTGATTACGTTGCCTATAACAGGATCTCTGAATGAGGGAGAGAATCTTTGTAGTTCACCAGACTCTCCAATATTCACAGATTGTGATGCATACAGTGTAATCAGTGCATCTGCTTTTCTCAACTGAGGGAGCTGCAGCTTTAAAGAAGACCCTGAGGTATTGGCTTTCTCAGTCTTCACTGCACAGAAGATTTCTACATGAGTGCTGCCTATGCCCATATTTTTTTGCCCCCCCCCCCCCCCCCCCCCCCCCTCTTCTATTCGTAGAAGCTGTACTTTTAGTTTCCATAGATGAAAAGCAATCTATGAATGGTGGAGGGGAACTTTCATTCATCCACCCGTGCTACATTCATAGAGTGCTTTTCATCCATGGAAGCTGTAGTATAGCTACAATAGATATAGCTAGGGACAGAAAGAGCAGGCAAACTCAGCACTCTTGTCGAGTACATATGATGGGTCCATTGGCTCCTTTTAACACCCCCCACCCTCTGTACTGGAAGATTACTGCTGCAAGGGTCAACCAGTAGACTGAAGCTTTCAACTACATTTGCAGGGGACACCTTGCGTTGATTGAAAGTACTGTCCCTTGTGCTGATTTTATAATATATTTTGAATAACCTTAAGCTTTACATTTCAGCTTTAAACATTTAATTTACACATTACTGCTATAGTTTTATCAGAAAATTGTAGGCTGGATATTTTTTGGAACAGTAACTACTATAGTAGTGAACAATATACATGGTTTTTGATTCACGGTAATGATAAATCAATGAATGTGAATATGTGGGGGAATCTTGGGTGAAGGTGACATTTGACCTTTTATAAACTGAACCCTGAGTCTTACTGCTTAGTGTCAGCGTTATGGCCTTTGTGTAAAATACTTCTATGGAGAAACCACCTTTGATGCATATTTGGACAGCAGAAAGACATGGAGTTAGTCAGCACTGGCCCTTTGGGCAACTGGATCATGGGAAGGGAAAACAGAATTGTCAGAGTTACAATGTTTTATGACCTAGATGAATTATTTCTGGGCCTACTGGAAATTTTAGTTAGCTTTTGTATTATAAGAGGTTCCATTTACATAAATAATCAGTGAAGCTAGAAGGAATGTACAAAAATAGTTATTGTGAAGTCGGGAATCGTGTATCTGTTGTACTTTTCGGTCCATTTGCCCTTTAAGGGAATTCCAAGATGTTCCAGGCATTATAAGGTTGTTCCTGAGATTGCCCTCGCTCTATTTTAATTTCAGCAGGATGCTCTTTCCAGAGTTTGCTAACGAACTTGCAAAACTGAAGTTTAACCAAAGAAATTTGATTGTGTAGTCTTTAAACTGAAACTTTGGGTCTAGAGAAAATAGGGAGTGGTACAAGGGTCCTTAACCACTTTACATCCGCCCTATAGCAGTTTTACTGCTACAGGGTGGATCTCCTGTGCAAAATCACGTATAAATCACGCCAGCAGATCGCTTCTGCAGTGAACAGTGAAGCCGATATGCAAGTCCAGGTTAACAGATCTTTGCCGACACCTGCAGATCGCCTGGTAGGGAGGAAGAAGAAAGCTGTGCCTATGTTTACAAAGGCACAGTTCTCTTGTGACAGGGAAAAGTGATGGATCCTGTGTCCCTGCAGAGCTGGGAACATGATCCATCACTTACCCTTGCACCACCGCCATCTAGTCTACACCAAGCACATAGCTGGCACACACTTAACCCTTTGATCACCCTAGATGTTACTCCGTTCCCAACCAGTGTCATTGGTACAGTAATCAGTGTATATTTTTAGCACTGATCACTGTATTCGTGTCACTGGTTCCCACAAACTGTTAGTGTAAAAATATCTGCCACAATATTGCAGTCCCGTTATTAGTTGCTGATTGCTTCCATTACTAGAATTAAAACAAAAAAAAAAAGTTTGTAGACGCTATATAACGTTTGTGCAAACTAATCACTGTGCACTTATTGTGATTTTTATTAATCAAGAATATGTAGAGCAGAATACATTTTGGCTTAAATTTTATGAAGAAATTTGATTTTAAAATTTTTTTTATGGATGTTTTTTAGTCGAAACTAAAAAATATTATTCGTTTTTTTTTTTTTGTTTTTTGTTTTTTTTTAAACTGACGGTCTTTTTATTTATAATGTAAAAAAACTGCAGAGGTGATCAAATACCACCAAAAGAAAAGTATAAGCTCTATTTGTGGGAAAAAAAGGACATAAACTTAATTTGGGTACATGAGCGCGTAATTATCAGGTAAATCAATGCAGCGCCCTATCGCAAAAAATGGCCTGGTCGGGAACTGGGTACGTCTTCCGGAGCTGAAGGTGGTTAAAAGATAAGTTCACGGGGGGCCTGCGAACATGATCCATCACTTACTCTTGCACCACCGCCATCTAGTCTACACCAAGCACATAGCTGGCACACACTTAACCTTTGATCACCCTAGATGTTACTCCGTTCCCAACCAGTGTCATTGGTACAGTTAATCAGTGTATATTTTTAGCACTGATCACTGTATTCGTGTCACTGGTTCCCACAAACTGTTAGTCAGTGTAAAAATATCTGCCACAATATTGCAGTCCCGTTATTAGTTGCTGATTGCTTCCATTACTAGAATTAAAACAAAAAAAAAAGTTTGTAGACGCTATAACGTTTGTGCAAACTAATC